GGTTGCAGGGAAAGGTGCCGGGGGTGGTGGGGTTAGTGGAGAGTGTGGAGCAGACGAGGGAGTCGTGAAGAGAGCGGTCCCTACAAAAGGCAGATAGGGTGGGGAGGGAAATCCTTTGTGAGAAGAAACATAAAACACAAGGGGCTGAGAGTTTACATTGGAGCTCTACAGGACATTGGTTAGACCATAAGAGTGCTGTGTGCAGTTCTGGATGTCACACTATAGGAAGAATGAGTGTCCACTACAAAAGATGCAGGCAGAATTCAACAGTTTGTTGCCAAGGCTGTGGTATTTCAGCAATGAAGAGACTACATGGCTAGGTTTGTTTTCATTAAAGCAGAGAAAGCTGAAGGGAGACTTGATTGTGGTGTCAGTAAGAACTCCACCCCCCTCCCCTCACCCTTGGCAGAGGTCAATTACCACACATTGTTGAGACTCCACCATGCTCTGACATCAGTAAAGCCTTCTCATCTGTCACAGATCGTATATTTCCTTTTTGTGCCTAATTAACTAATGTACCATAAGTGAAACAGTTTTCTGGGAAAGAGCAATCAGAAATTTGCAATAAATCATTCACCCACTATTTTAGTTAACCGTGATCATAAACCCCCTTAAAATCAACAGGGGCATAAATTTAAGGTAAGGGGCAGGAGATTTACTTCCCCACCTAAAGGATAGAATGTATTTAAAACGTGCTGCTTGGAAGAGTTATATGGGCAGGAACCATTACAACATTTAACTACCTGGACAAACGCTTAATGCTCTCACACATAAGGCTGTGGCTCAAGTGCTAGGAAATAGGATTAGAATAGATAGATGCTTGAAGAGCACTGGCAGTGACATGATGGTCCGAAGGGCCTCCTTCTATGCTGTAATACTCTATAACCATCCTACTGGCATTCAAACTACATTATCGTCATTGCTGTTGGCCACTTGTATTTTTAGTATTGGCCCTCAGTAATGGACCGTGTTTGATTGAATAACTCTCATCAATTATTATTTCTATCTACCACAATAATCTGTATACTTTTCTCTCCACTCAGATCTTTATACAATTAAAAAGAGTAAGCTGCAAGGCCATTAGTACATATTTGATAGAAGTAACAGAATTGGGTATGCTCTGATAAATTTTCTTATAATTCACAACTGGATACATGTACTTGCACAGAGTGTAACACTGGCAAGAGATGCTATAGAATCTTACAAAATTCTGACAAGGTTTTACCAAGGAGACATCATGTTTTACAGCAAGAAAAAATATTCTTTTTATTAATTCTATATTTTTAGAACAATTAGTCTGGCTGATGTTGCTTCTGATCCAAAAGTGGGTACAGATGTACATACCAAGCTCAAAAAGAGCTTATCTGTGATTTTCTTCCCTTCCCCAGCTGTCAACCCTTACCACTGCCATAATATTGACCAATTGGATTCCTATGTAGAATGGGCATAAAGATAAGATCCCAGAGAGCATAGAATGGTTTCAGCATCCAAGCAGGCTATTAGGCCAGTCACGTTTGTATTGTTTCTCTGCAAGAACATTCAAAATTCTTGTAACCATACTCAGAACGGATTGATACTCTCAAGAAAAGGCAGGTTAGAAGGTGAAAAAAAAACTGATTCAAAAATTAAACGAGAAAAAGCTTCTCAATCATTGTAGATCTTATCTACTGTGCATGGCAATAAAATTAAGTAACATTTTAAATTCTAATTGTAAAGAAAACTTTACACTATTGTCAAGTACATTCTCAAATTTGTTTCAAATGATGAGATTAATATACACCTAGAATTAGAACACAACTTGTACACTGAAATATTTCAACAAATTTGATTTGATTCCCAACAGTCTGTTTTCTGAGCAGTTAAAGTAACATAATTATCCAACCTAATTTAATCATTTTGAAAGCTTTATCAATGGACATCTAAACTGCAAATACAGTTTTTAAAACCTGAAGTGAGTTGCGAAATATGCTTTGCAAGTTGGAAATCCAGAAATAAAATAAAGGCAGAAAATATTTAGCAGGCATCTGTGGAGAGAAACAAAGTTGACATTTCAGGTTGAGACAACCTTATATCAGAAAAGAAACTACAAACATAAGTTTCAGTCTGTGGGAGGGGGCAGGAAGAACATCTGCAAGAGGGTGCAGGACAGGAGCAAATAAGTAACAAAATATTTCACAATGCAACTGGTATGGGTATGGCACAGAAAAACATGTTATGTTTCTGATGAGCTGTGAATGACCACTTAGCAACCATCAGAATGCAATACAAATGGAAAGAAACAAACAGAGCAAAAGTAAACCCACCAAAGACAAGAAAAAATAAACATGGAGGTAGACGTTGTGATCTAAAGGTGTTGAACTCTTATGTTGAGTGCAGAGTACTGTAAACTGCTGAGTCAAAAGATAAGACGTTGTTCCTCAAGATTTGCTAGAGCACTGCAGTAGGCCACATATAGAAAAATCAGCATGGAAGCAAAGTGGAGAATTAAAATGGTGCTTTATTATAAAAACTTTGTATTAGGAGTGGAAATACATAGGGGAAATTGAATGTTAAAAATAAACAAGACAAACATTAACCTGCCCAAGGACACCAGAATGCTCATGATTTATTTTTCACTTATTTTCACATTCCATTTTTCTTATTGTAACATTTATCAGCATGACAGATATGTCGCCCAAGAAGTTATAGTAGTAATGAGATACCGGATTAAACAATGCCAACACTTGATGGGATAATTCCTGACGATCATGCCTAGATACTACTGACTTTAAGATTAAAGGTTCAACATAATCAGAGTGTGAAACAAATTACTTTAAAATGTACAAATTCAGGTAATTTAATAATGGATAAAAAGCTTTGTTTAGAATTGATGCCTAGTTGTTATATTTTATACTTTCTTGCTATAACATTTGTGTTATGACAAACAGGATTTGGTCTACAAGATTCAAGACACCACTTAAAACACTGCAGTTCCATTTTACTTATGTTTGAGGAAATTATTCTGACATGAATCTTGCATGTAAAATGCATCACTCCAAACATTCATATGCATGCCAGGTCAATAAGAAATTTTACTATAGATTGAAAATAGGAACATTTGCAAACATAGAACTGGAGCACAATTCCATACTTAGATAAACATTACTGGAATGACAAACTATAAAGTGGTCTACAGCTATGGCAAATTTAGGATTTTGAAATCAATAAATGTTTTGTCAGTAAACATAGCCATGAAACAACACTCTTCCAAAGACAAAAACATTGCTCACTATTGAACATCAGGAAAACTATCATCTTCACCTGGTCTGGCCAATGCAATCATTACCCTAAGCTGACTATACAGGTTTTGTACAATTAAGTTATGTACAGATTTATGATAGCTCTCTTTTTAAAGGAAAACATGTCCATATGCCTGTATGTTTTAAAATCCCCTGGGAAACAATGGAGGCTCATGGGCGCAACCTAAACTTCCAGTCAGCCCCTAGCACACACCACAGAAGGGTCCAGGCAGAGAAACACAGATTTCCTTAAACAATCAAACCAAAAAAAAAAATTACAGATCAACCATGCAAGCAAGTTGCATCAAGATAGAATTGTGAATTTGACATCAAATCTGATGCACAAAGTCAAAAATAAAAACAAAGAAAAATAGAATTGAAGGCACCAAAATGGACGGTTCCGCATTTGAGAAGATTCTGATCAGGGCTCTTTCAGAAGTGTGAAGCCATACTTCCACCTGACAGTTCTTTCATGGTGCAGAACTGTAAAGGTCGTGCAGACCACATTCTCTTTTCACAGCAGTCAGCTGTCGTATTCAGAAATTTCAAGTTTCAAACAGCTTTGACATCAGTTGTCAAACAATAAGAATGATATTAGGGTGCTGGCAGGTAGCGTGTCAGATGGAGAGGGTTAGGCTAGTAGGTAGATTGGGTGCCAGGCATGCGGCAGGTCACTTTTAGCAGCAACAGAAGTGGGGGGGGGGGGGGGGGTGGTGGCTGCAGAGCAGGGGTAGCTTGTCAGGTGGTATAATTGATGGGGCTGAGGTAAGAGGTAAGCATCAGGCCTTTTTAATAGTTACTTCAGAGTTAGATATAATAGTCTAATGTTTTAATGTTTTAAAAGTTTTATGAAGACACTCCAAATTCTCCAATTTAAACAGAGACTTTCAAAGGATTCCAGATGTAGAGGAGTTGGTCAATTGACTCTTCAATTTCCCAGGTAACTTCTTCAGTTTCACTGTGGGGGACCCCAAGCACAACTCCCATTAATGCTGGAATAACAACCATCACATTACTGAAAAACCCAGACCTATAAATTCCAAGGAATTCCATTTTGAACCGTGCGCACAACACCCTTGCTAAAAGCTGTTAATCATATTTGCACATCAATACTTGACATTTTCACTCCCTCCACTGTGAATAGCAAACCTATAATTGTAACTTTTAAGACAGGCAACGGCTAAGGGTCAGAGAGAGAGTGGCAGTCTACACACGTGCATGCGCGATTGGGGAGTGCATTTAAAATGAAAGGCATCCTATCCCTGGATACAGTAAGCCAGGAAACTGCTGAGTCAAAGCTAGGCACGTTTCAATCTCAGCCTAGTCAACCAACACTGATAAGGGGAAGAGGTAAAGAAAACATCTCCAGTTTGATTTTAGGATTATTGTTGGGAAACTACATAGGGAACAGGCCATCTGCTTGGGGGGAGGTGAAGATAAGTCAGCCATGCAGGGGAGAGAGGAGGAGGAAGGGGTGGAGACAAGAAGTGGAATGAAGAAAAAGGCCATTTTGGGGGCTGGTAGCGGGAGAGAAAGCCTTTTACGGTGGCAGAGGGGAGGAAAAGATGGTTCTTTGGGTGTTGGGGGCAGCGGGAGAGGAGAAGGCCGTCCCAGTGTGGGGACTTAAAGTCATCGGGGTTCAGCCGAGGGGAGGAGTTGCGAAAGAGATGGGATTTTTTTGGGTGTGGGGGGGGGGGGAGGAGGAGGAGGGGTTAGGTGAAGGAAGTACATGTGGGGTAGAGGCGGTGGATCAAATAAAAGGAGAGGACCCGCCGCCTCTGCTCCACGGAGGGGAGGGGAAAAAAAGACGGTGAGAAAATGAAAAGGTGAGGGGGGGACTTTTCGAACGATGAGGATGAGGGACAAAAAAACCTGCAGCGGGGGCACCGGGTCCAATGAGAGCCGTCCCTTTCCGCGAAATCAGGCGGCGGCGGCGGCGGCGGGAATGGCCATTTCTTACCCCCACCCACGGGGGCACAGGGTCGGCGCCTGGCGGACAATCCCCTAACCCCCACCCCCGCCCATGGCGGAGAGAGACGGGGTAGGGGTGGGGTTAAAAAGCAGCACTTTGTGTCCCCCACCACCACCACCACCACTTCCCGGATTACATTGCTGCCCCGCCCCCCGCCAACCGTTATCGTTCCCGCCGCTTCCCGTTTCGTCTCTTTTTCCTCCCCCCGCACGTTTCTCGCTGTAATGTCTCCCAATGCCCGCTCTCTCCCACCACCACCACAACACCCGCCTCTCCTCCTGCGAGGAACGGCCTCAGGTTTTTTTTTAATATGTTAATTTTCTTATTTTACCTTCAACAGCCGGCTGCTGCCCGCCATCTTGATCATCCGCACTTCTCCCCGGGACCGGCGAGATCCACGTTCCCTGCCGACGCTGCTGGCCAATCAGGGGCCACGGCGGCCTAATCGGCCAGAGGCCTACCAGAAAGCGGCGGGATTCGACCAATGAGCGGCTACATTCGCGCCAGTGCGAATCGCTGATCAATCGGCGGGCGTCGTACGGGCGCGGGCCAATCGGCAACCGCGCATGTCGCCCAATCCGCGGCGCCAAGCCGAAGCGGCGAATGCCAGGCACTCAGTGGCGCCGCCCTGGCGTGATCCAAACGGAAACCGTGGTTTTGGACCAATCGTTGGCACCATCCGACCATGAGCCAATCGGAAACTGCAGAGGGCGACCAATCGGCGGCGGCGGATGGTCGTAAACCAATCGGAAACCGTGAGTGGTGACTAATAGGCGACGCCATGGGGACGCTAGCCAATCTGAAGCGGTAGAACCGGCCATTCATTGGTGCCGGCTATGGCGGTGGTGGCCAATCAGAAGCTCAGCTCTCTAACGAGTTTGTAATGGCCATTCTGGTCAAAATGAAAGCAATAAACTATTTGCACATCAATTTTAGCTTCGAACTGTTTCCCCTTGTTATTTCAGCTTCCTGTTTATTCTGTTATTTACAAGAAGTACGGTAGAAATTCTCCAAAGATCTTCAGACAACACCCTCCAAACCCAATGACCACTTCCATCTTGAAGGACAAGAGCAGTGGTTACTTAGGAACACCATCTCCTTAAAAGTTCCCGTCCAAAGCAGTCACCATCCTTACTTGGAAGTACATTGCTGTTCATTCACTGTCGCTGGATCAAAATCCTGGAATTCTCTCCTTAATGGCATTGTAGGTGAACAGCACCACCTTTTCAAGGGCAACTAGGGACAGGCAATAAATGGTGGCCAGCCAGTGATGCCCACGTCCCACAAATGAATAAAAAAATCCCTACAACCGATATCTTTTCCATCCTCAGATATTGTACTCCTCCAATTTCCTTGTTGATTTCCACATGGCTGTTTCCATACATGCAACTGTCTGAGTGAGATAAGACCAAGATACATGGTAGGCCATTCAGCCTAGCGAGTCTGCTGTGTAATGTAGACAATTAATGAGGTGTGTTTGGTAAGATTGGGTGATAAAGCTCACTCAGCCTCCTGGCAAAAAGCCCTCTGAAAAATTCAACGTAACTAATGCAGAAGAAAGTAAGGTTATTACTCTCAAAAGTATATTAAATTCAACGGTAATCAATCAGATTATAGCATTTATAATTGCTTTTATTTTTCTGCAGAGGTGTACTTTATTCATACGTTATATAATATAGTAGTTCAAATTTGGCTTTGCATGAAGTGCAGTACAAAACAATATAGCACAGTACAGGCCCTTCAGCCCACGATGTTGTGCCGACCTATTATCCTACTAAGATCGATCTATCCTGCATACCCTACATTTTACTATCCTCCATGTGCCTATCCAAGAGTCATTTAAAAGTCTCTAAAGTATCTGACTCCACTGCCACTGCCAGCAGCGCGTTCCACATGCCTACAATTCAGTTCCATTCTGCTCCTTGCAGTATGGGTCACTGGGATAGTTTCAAGGTTTATTGTTCTAACCTTAGAAGGCTTCTCCTTACAGTCGCATCTGATTTGTTGGATTTTCCAAAATTACAAAATTGTTACGGTGTAGCAAGAGACTCTTCAGCCCATCAAATCTGCGCTGTTTCTCCAACTAAGCAATTCACTTAGTTCCTTTCTTCTGCCTTCTCCCACAACACTGCACATTGTTTGTTTGCGTGTAATACTGTTACTGCACTTAGAAAGCTTCAATTGAATGTGCTTCCACCACACTTTCAATTCAAAAATAACCTGCAGCAAAGCTTTAGTCTTAACTAGGATGGAAGACAAGTTTATTTCATATTGACTGCTGAAAATTGCAATATAATATGCATTAAAATTATTTGCGAGATTAAAAGTAGGTAGGGGTAAAGCTACTTATAAAGAAATCAGTCTATTATTGTTGCAGGTCTAGCTTTCTTGAAGATTTCTTTCAAAGGTAAGGGGTTGAAGACTTGAAGTTAGAATTCAGCAGCTGAGATGGATTATGTAGCTGAATTGTTGGAGCTTTCCTACATAGGTGGAGTGAGCAGAACAAGTTCTGGGTGGGAGGGAATAAGAACTCCTTTGTTTCTAATTTTACAGCACTGGAGGTTTTGACTCATGATAGCCTGGTTTCAGTACAGCAGTCCCTTAGTATCCATGGAGAGAAAGCAAGCTAATGTTTCGAGTCCAAATGAATCTTCATCAGAGCCAGTCTCTTGTCAGAGACATCTAAACTCTAAACGTTAGCTTGCTTTCTCTCCATGGATGCAGCCTGACCAGCTGTGATCTCCAGCAATTTTTGTCTTCAGTACAGATTCCAGCATCTGCAGTAATTTGCTCCTACAGTAGTCCTTTAGTTGGTTTGCCTCCTCTGTTTCTCCATTGATAACATTCTCTCTCGTGATAGTCTCTCAGATTTTTTTTCATGGAGTTCTGTCCAAAATGCTTCTCACAGCCTGTCTTATACATATCAAAACACAAGATGGCCACTATCACAAAACTGTCGAACCATGCTGCTATATTAGATAAAAGACACATCCATTTTTTCAGTCAAGACATTTAATATTAACTCAGAGATAGCAGGAACTGCAGATGCTGGAGAATCCGAGACAACAACGTGCAGAGCTGGATGAACACAGCAGGCCAAGCAGCATCATAGGAGCAGAAAGGCTGACGTTTTGGGCCTAGACCCTTCATCTGCTCCTATGATGCTGCTTGGCCTGCTGTGTTCATCCAGCTCTGCGCCTTGTTGTCTCTCATTTAATATTAACTGTTTGGATCATTTTTAGATTGCAGTAAGTTAGGAAGAGTTGTTCACACCATAGGGGAACCATTGTTGGGGGTCTTTGTTTACCTTTAGAAATGTTCATTGACTTTCCAAATGGTCTCCTGTTTTCTTTCTGAGATAAGTGCAATCTAGCCTCAATACCAGTTCAATCCACAAGGGTAACGTGAAATTATTTAAAAAAAACACAAAACATTAACTGTGTTTCTCTCTCCACAGATGCTGCCAGACCTGTTGAGTTATTCCAGCACATTCTACTTTTATTTAAGATTTCAAGCATCCGGTTTTTTGTTTTTTTTGTTTGTAAGGAGTCATAAAATGTCTGGGAGCCATTTTGTAAGGAAAGGTCACCAGACCTGAAACGTTAACTCTGTTTTCTCCTTCACAGATGCTGCCAGACCTGCTGAGCTTTTCCAGCAACTTTGTTTTTGTTGTTGTTGTTGTAATATTCTGTGTCTGTTTGAAAAATAAGTTAGCCTTCTTTGCAAAATGTATAGTATTATAATTACACAGTCGAGGTGCTATTTTGCCAATAATCCTCATGACCCCTCCAGATTTGCGCATTTATTGTCTAGTAAACTCCATGTGAGTGAAGCAATGTCAGGAATTTACAGAGTGAGTTCCTTCTGATGAAGCAAAATTGATAATGCAATGCTAATCAGCCACTCTGGCTCTGAAAAGGAACATTTTAACAGTTCAACCTCATTGTTGCAGCAATTGTGAGCAATTATAAAATTGTCAAATTTTAAACATTGAATTCCTCAGAGCATTATATCCAATGTTAGGTGTGATTCTGCTATTGAACAACTTTTACGAATTACACAGGAAACCAATTTAAGATAATTAGTTGATCTCGCAATGTGATTCAATTGTGATGGCTGGAAGTTACCCGAGTTCACACACAAGACTCTGTTCATTGTAGGTAAAGTAGGCCAGGCAGCATCAGAGGAGCAGGAAAGCTGACGTTTCAGGTCTGGACCCTTCTTCATTTTTTTTTAACCTGAAGAAGGGTCCCTAATTGAAACATTAACTTTCCTGCTCCCCTGCTGTGTTCCTCCAGCTGCACACTGTGTTATCTCTGAATCCAGCATCAGCAGTTCTTACTATCTCTGAGTAATGTTCATCGAATCACTACAGTGTGGAAAGAGGCCATTTGGCCCAACAAGTCCACACAGCCCCTCTGAAGACCATCCCACCCAGACTCATTCCCAGATCCCATCATTTCCCCATGTCTAACCCACCCAACCTAAACATCCCTGGGCACTCTGGGTAATTTAGCATGGCCAATCCACCTACACTGCACATCTTTGGACTGTGGGAGGAAACCCACACAGACACAGGGAGAACATGCAAACGCCACACAGACAGTCGCCCGAGGCTGGGATTGAACCCAGGTCCCTAGCACTGTGAGGCAGCAGTACTAACCACTGAGCCACCGTGCCACCTCAGTGTAGGCCTTCCTCATTATAGAGAGGGTTGCATTGCCATTACAACATCCTGACCAGAGCTGACCTGCCTGATCTGAGTTTAATCACCTAACTAAGACTGACAGTTAAAAGTTGCCCCTCTCTATGCCAACCATTGTCCACCAAATCAACAACCTCTTCTCATGCTGCATAATTTGAATTCCCTTTCTAAGTTTGCTATATTTGTGTGCCAGTCCTCATGGCCATATGACAACAAGCTTTGACATTGTGTCTCTTTTTAATGATGTTTAAAGGGTAAAATGTTTTTCTTCATATTCCTTTGTCTCTTTATCACTCTCTTAATCCAATCTTTCTTTCCCTTTCTTTATGCTCTTCATTTGACTGAAATTCACCTTGTTTCATTCTCTGCTGTTTTTAGCAATTCTGTAATCTCATCATTTATGGAGATAGTCCTGCCATTCACACCCCATTGTTCAACACCAGCACTACAGTTGGCGAATTAAACAAGTACCCAGGAGATATGGGCATTTGTCTGAGCGCTGTTGTCCTCTTAAAACAATATAATGTTCAAACATACTGCAAGCAAGACCACAGGACATCAGTCTAATTAGTGTTTGATCTGTAATAGCTCCATGATGATTCATCAGAGCTAGATTCAGAATTCTCGGAGTTCCACGCACCTGGGGGTGTCTCTCTGATCCATTGCAACATTATGAATGTGACCATGATTTTGGCTGTAAAGCTCTTTGCAAAATTCTGAGATCATGGAAGGCACTATATAAATGCAAGACTTTGTTTATTAGCTGAGTTTTAAAATGCCCGAAAAACTATGGCTGTAAAAAACCTATAGTTTGCATTCTCCTTTCTGACGATATTTTGAAATGGTGGATTGTTTCTATCCAAAAATGGCACTGTGGTGAGCTTCAGCAGGATCCCTGTATTAACTCCGTCCCAGAGCAAAAGGCCCTTGGAGCTAGGAGTTAAACTGTATTTTTGATTCAGTAGACTGTATGTGCAAATTTCTGAACAGATCCGAGCAATAATGATATTTCACTTGCCATGGCAAATACTTTGTCCCATATATCTTAACTCCTCTCCTTTGCGCACCTTCCCTGAATGAGGGAATGGAGGTGGGAGGGATTGGCTCCCATTGCATCCAGTCTCTGGGTATAAAATAGGTGGTGATGACGATCAGTTTAAGAGCGCAGTCTCCCCAGGGTAAATGCACCACCACCAAGTTGTAGAAACTGGCTTTGCAGAATTAATTTTT